ACACACACACACACACACACACACACACACACACACACACACACACACACACACACACACTCGTACGCTCATTTACTCTGACGCGTCCTCGCATCGGCTGTACCACCCACGCGCTCTTCCACCCCCATTTCCACCCCGTGTCTCTCATTCGTCTTATAAATGTAAATCGGTAACAATTATGCATTGGACAATGTATAACAACGTAATTAAACGCACACGCGGCGGTCTGATCCGCGCGCGCGCTCTCTTTTTCCCTCTCTCTCTCTTTCTCTCTTTCGTTCTCTCTGGCTCTCTCTCTTTCTCTCTCTTTCTCTCTCTCTCTCTCTTTCTCTCTCTCTCTCCAAAGTGTTCTCTCTGTGTGTACGTGGTGCGTGTGCGCGTGCACGTGTTACCTGTGACTCGCTATATACGTTTGCGGCTGTGTCGGGACACGCCCTGCATCTCGTGCACGATTTCCCGCAATTACGACGACAACAACGACGACGACGACTCTCTTTCTCTCTCTCTCTCTCTCTTTCTCTCGACATTCTCTCCCTTTTTCGCCTCGTTCTCCGCCCCAGTGTCTTCGTGGCTTCGTTTCTCACCTCCTCGCACCATCTCGTCTCGTTCTAGAGCCAGGCAAAAAACGAACTGTCCGAAATCATTCGAATTCACTTTTGTACCGTATCTGATGGGCACGAGCAACTCATTCGGCTCTATCTTCCGTTCGAGACGGAAGAGGATGTGGTTTTGTCTTTATTCCTGTGCACGGAACGATCTTTTTCTTCGAAGAAGAAACAGCGAATGTTTTCCGAAGAGAATGTGTTCTGAATGAAAACATATGTACATTCTCCTTGCTGCGGTATACAATAAGAAATTTTTGGAATTGTTGAAAATTGAAGGAAACGCGGTGTGTCGTCTTCAGTGATCTCGGGTTAAAATAATTGCATCATAGGTTTGTTATTTTTCATTAGCTTCATTGGCTTCACTAGAACTCATACGATGATTTTAATTTAATGCTATTGCACTATGGATTTTATATATTTATAACAAATATTAATACGTAAAATAGAACACGGCATTATGATTCAAATGAAACTGTTATTAGTCATTTTCCTGAAAAAATTTCTTTTGTAAATATTTTTTAGAAGGATTTATGAACACGGACACGTCGCTTTCAACTTACTAGATTCTTGTTTGTTGCAAACAATGCAAACAGTGCACTCTTTACTCCGTTAGTCTTATTACTCAAAATTCGGATCCATAGACAATTGAAAACATAAAGGAACATAGATCACAGTATCCATCATCTGTTATTTATACCGACAGTTACTTAGAAACATGTCGATACATAGAAAAATCGGCGGACGTTGTCAGAATCGAGTGGAAAATTTATATTTTTAACCAAGAGTAAATTTTCTTCCAGTAAAAAGATCATCGTCGGCTCGTAAAATGAAGACAAGCTATCCAATCTCCGCCATCTCGAAGAGAAAAAATATTTCGTTACTTATTCGATGCTTTCGTTTGGAGGACTCTGTCTGAGAACGAGAAGAAAAGCGTCCACTTCCGGTCTATCGTTGCGCGGAAATTAGGTCCTGTCGGCTATCGAGCGAAAAGGAGAACTCGTGCGAGGGTCAGGTGCGCAGCCTCGGCCAGATTGCAGTCCCCGTGTAAGCTCTCAAGCGTCAACTTGATTAGTCGATTACGAATAAACGCAGGTGGCCGCTTTGTTTCGCACTCTCTACCTTGACAAGACACAGCGCTATGCTCGGAAGATGGCTCACGTAACGGTGCAGGGACCACAGGGTTGTTATACCTTGTCTCGTGGTGTTTGCAGATGGTTTCGTCCGCAGGATGTGCAATTTTCGATTCTAATCTCTCATTAACGGAGAAAAGTAAAGCTGTTTCTTAGCTTATATCTCTCCAAGCGAACCGTGGATTTCAAAGCAAAATAAACACTTTCTGCAACAGAGAATAGTTCACCGCATCTAAATATCCACCTCGGTCCTTCTGAAGCTTTCACTGTTTCGTATTTCACCTATCCACTTTGTTTGAAATGCGTGAAATTTACGCGTAAACTTTTGGATTTCATCCGCGAAACACGGGAAACACTATAAACGTCAGAATAATTCAAGAACACTGTCGCACTGTTCTCAGTTTATCAAAAGTGTGAAGAGAAAGGGCAAATATATATATAGTTTTCCTCACGGCTTCTACGTTTCCACAAAAGTTTGCAATTCTGTGCAAACCTATAAACGAGCGACACATAATATCCGCAAGATCGGTGCTAACTTTATCCAGACAAGTTCTGAAAAGCCCTGCGGAATTCCCGACACGACCAAAAACTAGAATTCCGTCCAACGGTGTCCGCCTCGCAGTCCGTCTTCCGAGGGTTAATTATTGCGTGAGAAACGTGTCCAGACCCCCGAATCGTCTCTCCACCAATCTCTCTCTCTCTCTCTCTCTCTCTCTCTCTCTCTCTTTCGATTCTCCGTTTCGTCGCGAGAAACCTTGAGCTCGAAGCCACGCGAACCGTGTGGAGAAGAGTGTCGGAAAAAAGAATCAGTTTCGCTAGATCCGCGATGCTTCGCTGGAATGTTTCCCTATAAAAAAATCGGTCAGCTCTCTACGATTTATCCTCTTCTAATCGTTCACACGTTCTCTCTCTCTCTCTCTCTCTCTCTCACTCCTTCTCTCTTCTCGTTCATTCTCTCTGTCGTTCGTCGCACAATCTCTCAGTCTTTCTCTTTCTCACGTTCTCTCGATTTAGTTCGTACCGTTACATGTCTATGTTAATATAATAGTTATTTATTTATTGTAATGTCTATACGAACACATATTATACCTCGATAATGTCGTGTTTTTCTTTTTATCATTATTCTCGCGTTCAACTTTGCAAAATTCTCGATCCGTACTCTCTCTTTCTCTTTCTCTTTCTCTCTCTCGCACTCTCACTCACTTACTCACTCATTCACTCTCTCTCTTCCTTTCTCTCTCTCTCTCTCTCTCTCTCTCTCTCTCTAAGCCGTTCGTCTCCGTTTCTCCGTTGTCACGACCAAAAGACTATTTACCTACAACTTTTTATCTTCTGTGTGTCTCTGTGTTCGTGTGCGCGTGTAGTCGGAGTGTGAATCTCTTTGTTTTCCTCGTCAATGTTGTTTATGTTAATCGTAAATGCCTTATACGCGAACGGGTGCTTGCTCTTTGCGTAGATCGTTTTTATTACACGCGTTCTCTCATTCGCTCTATTTTGCTCGTGTACGCATTCCTCGAATTCGCGACGCATTCGCTCACCGCATCAGGCGCTCATCCGCACCGCTAATTTCTTTCGTAGTAATTAATAATTCTGCGTTAATGCGTGTGTCCGTGTCTTCTCTCTGTAGGTGTGTATACGCGCGTGTGTTTGTGTGTTTGTGTGTGTGTGTGTGTGTGTGTGTGTGTGTGTGTGTGTGTGTGTGTGTGTGTGTGTGTGTGTGTGTGTGTGTGTGTGTGTGTGTGTGTGTGTGTGTGTGTGTGTGTGTGTGTGTGTGTGTGTGTGTGTGTGTGTGTGTGTGTGTGTGTGTGTGTGTGTGTGTGTGTGTGTGTGTGTGTGTGTGTGTGTGTGTGTGTGTGTGTGTGTGTGTGTGTGTGTGTGTGTGTGTGTGTGTGTGTGTGTGTGTGTGTGTGTGTGTGTGTGTGTGTGTGTGTGTGTGTGTGTGTGTGTGTGTGTGTGTGTGTGTGTGTGTGTGTGTGTGTGTGTGTGTGTGTGTGTGTGTGTGTGTGTGTGTGTGTGTGTGTGTGTGTGTGTGTGTGTGTGTGTGTGTGTGTGTGTGTGTGTGTGTGTGTGTGTGTGTGTGTGTGTGTGTGTGTGTGTGTGTGTGTGTGTGTGTGTGTGTGTGTGTGTGTGTGTGTGTGTGTGTGTGTGTGTGTGTGTGTGTGTGTGTGTGTACGTGTGCCTCATATATAATACGTGTCCTGTGCGCGCGTATGCCACACGCGCCGAATGTATAGAATAAGTAAGTTGTATCGTAGTCATTCTATCGTTTTTTTTTTGTGTTACGTTAATGTTACTTTATCGTTTATCATCATCGTTACTTCATTATTTAATCGTTATTATTTATTTCATTAATCATTATTTATTATTCGTTAACTATTATTATTTATTCATTATTTACCGCCCGTTCCTAATCCGTATATTCTCGTCATCGACCTCCTCGCGACGTCCTCCTGTCGCGCGTCTTCGTTCCTGAACCCGCCCCTTGCGCCCGCCTCATCATTATCATTCTCATCACCGTCATCATCATCAGTATCATTATCATCGTTCATCATCGTTTTTATCATCGTTAATATTTATAATTTATTAATTATTATTGTATTATTGTTATCCATTATTATTCGCTACAGACGTTACGGTTCTCCTCGCTCTTTCCCTCTCAACCTCTCTCTCTTTCTCTCTCTCTCTCTCTCTCTCTTCCTCTCTCTTTCTTTTCCGTTCTCCTCGGCGTCTACGGAGCCGAGCCGTCGTCGACGCGCATCCAACAAATTTCTCCGGATTACCAAAAAACCAAAAGAAACAAGAAAATCAAATAACTCCCATCGTGCTCTCTCTCTCTCTCTCTCTCACTCTCTCACGCTCTCACTCTCTCTCTCTCCCTCTCTCTCGCTCTCTCTCTCTCTCTCTCACTCTTTATCTTTCTCTTCCGTTCAGGGAAAACAGTCGTCGTTTGTCTTCGTCTTCGTTCCGAAACGGTCGTCCGTCGTCGTTCCGCTTGGACCATGTTCGCGCTGTTCGACCGGCTCCGGTGTGTGAATGTGTGTCCGTCGCGCGACCCTTTCTCGAGAGACCCTTTTCTCGAGACCCTTTTTCTCGAGGGTCGCGTCTGATCCTGGAAGGTATACCCGAAGTCCACGCAGCGCGCGGGGAGCTTCGGTTTGTCGATAGAAAATACCTGCGTGTCACGCGTCCGCGTTCCTCCTGTGCCGACCCTATGGCGGGTCCTTCCTGGAGGGAAGCCGGTATCCTGGAGGTCGCCTAACCGTCGGAGTCTGCCGGAAACCATCCACCGAACGGTCCTGGCTCCCAATCCTCTTCGATCCTCTGTTCCGGCCGGCTGGAGGACGCTTCTCGCCTCTGCAGCTTGGCTTCCACCTTGACTTCCACCTTGGCTTCCACCTTGACTTCCACCATCGGTACAACCACCACCACCGCCACCGCCACCACCACCACCACCATCGGCACCGACACTGAGCCGCGAATCGGCCAAAGTCCCTCGTCCAGAGGCGGACCCGTGGCGAGGAGCACCCGCGCACCAAGATCCTCGGCTGGCGGACACCTCGATGGCTGTGCAACCTGGCGGAAGCGTCGCCGGGTCGGCCAGGTTCACCGGGCCCACCGGGACGCGATGCACACCCTCCGGACACCCTCGGGCGGTCCTCGCCCTTCGTTGCCCTCCTCCACCTCCGCCACCTTCGCCACCTCCACCACCTCCACCAGCCGAACCACCAACCGCCCCGGCACCGGCGTTCGACCATCACCCACTTTTCGAGCATCCACTTCGCACCATGACGCGCGCTGACGCAACTTACTCTGCCGGCGGAGCTACCGTGCAGCCAAGCGACAAGGTCTGCACCCAGCCGACTCGTTTTTTCGCCGCTGCCACCCAGAGGACTCCGGCCGGCACCGCCGCTGTGAACCGTGAACAGTGGCTTGAACACCTGGAGCACGGCCCTCGGGACCCACAGCAAGCTGCACGTTGACAGGCTGAACAGCATGCTGGCCAACGAGCACAGCCACACCGCTTGCGGCATCATCGATGCTGACGGACGATCGGACGACGAGACGCTCGGGATCGAACCCACGCCGCCGCTCCCGCACAAAGAGGTGCCAGGCTGCGGTTGCGGCGGCTGCTGCATCACGGAACGCGGTGACGAGGACTCCTCTTCCACACCGTCCACGCTGCTCTCCGTCGAAACCGGCTGGTTCTCACCTGTTCGGGACAACAGTCGCAACGGTCGTTAGTCTGATCGGGCTTAAGGATATTTGGTCGATGGGGAAACCTATCTGATTGATATTTGGGACTCGAATAATTTATTAGGAATTAGTTAGATTCTTCGACACCAGTTGTAGATAAGCTATCACCCTACGACATACTACAGTAAATTCGTCCTAATTGACGCTCAGAATTGGTGCACAAAAGCGGACAATTTGGGAAGAGGAGATACGATTATTCGAGTCTCGCGGCTCATTTTTATAGTTACCGATTGTCAACAACTATAAAAACGAGCCTCCTATTCCCAAATTATCCATTTTTGTGTACAAACTGAGCGTCGATTACGGAGAATTTACTGTACTTGGTGGAAAGAATCAATCGATGAGATCAAAGTTCATCGCAAAGGTTCTACGCAAATTCTAATTTTCGTTGGTCATCTCATAAAAATCAAGGTGGGGATATCTTTAAAACAAAATGACAGAGGAGACTAGTATACAGTAGACTCTGCTGGGGTCAGCAAAAGTGGATCGTGCACTGTAAAGCGGGGGCCAGGCGGTCCAAGGGGCTGAAAGGTATCTAGGTTCTTTTTCTAAGCCCTCAGATAGGTATTCGAGGGAGTACGACGGTCCAAGAGCCGTCGATATCTCTCAGAGGCAGGGTTAATTGAAAAATTCATTGTTCAGGGGGTGACGAAGCGGAAACGTCTAAGATAAAATTCCTTGTAGCCGCTCGACTAAGCTTTCGACTCTATAGCATGGTTCACACCGGCGCCGGAGCACCGGTTGGTAGCTACCGATAGGAGATTTAATCGTTTTCATCGATTCGGACGTTTATACGTCGATCCAGGCGGTTTGGTAAGACGCTGAAATTTATGCGACCATCGCGAATTAGCAAAGACCAGGACTGGTGGCTAAATAAGATTGTGGAACCCGCTGATTCGAAAAGCTTAGCTACCCTCAAAGATGTTCACGAGCCTTTGGATAATAATTGAACTGCGAGTGTTTGACGACAAAGTTCTAATTCGGAGAAGCTGGAATGCATCCGAATTTTTCCGTAACAGCTTGAACTCACAGTTGTTAACGTGAAATGAGCTGGGTTAGACGAATAACCAAATTCGAGAAGAAGATAAAGTTGTCCGAGGCTTTTAGATGGGATTGAGTTAGGCTATAGCAAGTCACTTATAAATTACCGCCATCGAGAGGCTCCGACTCGGGGATTTTGTTTAGCTCCTTTGGCCTCCCATTCAACGAAACTGGCTGGCATTATCTGGCGGAGTAGATGGTTTTAGGCCGGTTGGTGGGATCAGGACACCCTCCAGCGCCTAGCACGCTACAGGAAATAGGGGGTGAACGCAATGAGAAGCAGGAACGAGAAGAGAAACGAATCCTGTGCCCTTCGGAACCTTTTCCACGATTACACACCTTCGCAAAGGCTCGCGTAGAGTAGGGCATAACTCTGGAAAGACTCGCACAGAATAGGATTCAGTTTTGTAAGGACCTAAATAAACTGCAACGATATACATAGGCTAGTATACGATTTCGCGAGGATTTACGTAGATTGGAATCCAACTTCGCGAAGACCTACATAAGCAGGGAACCGACTATCAAAAACCCGCATAGATTAGGACCCAATTTTTCAAAGATCTACGTAAACTAGGACCCTGTACATAAGTGCTAGTATAAAATTTTGAGAAGACCCACATAAACTAGGACCCTGTACATATATGCTAGTATAAAATTTTGAAAAGACCCACATAAATTAGGACCCTATACATATATGCTAGTATAAAATGTAGAAAAGACCCACATAAACTAGGACCCTGTACATAAATGCTAGTATAAAATTTTGGGAAGACCCACATAAACTAGGACCCTGTACATAAATGCTAGTATAAAATTTTGAGAAGACCCACATAAACTAGGACCCTGTACATATATGCTAGTATAAAATTTTGAAAAGACCCACATAA